TTTGCAGTTTCTGGTTATATCTAGTTAGGAACATTTGTGTCGTCAATACATTCTGAATAATATTTTAAATCGGTAGCAGACATTGTAAAAATGTATCAAAATTTCAAACTGGTTATGTTTTGTAGAAAACTCTCGCTTGATTGTATAGTTTAAAATTTAATTTCGTGCCGCTTAGGTGTTTGGCCCGTTTGTGTGTCGTTAATAAATTCAGGTCACTAATATTTTGGTAATTTTGCAGACTGAAAGAGCATCAGTTCATTTCGTGGTTACGTAGGGTGGCGCGGTTGCGATTATATCACCTAGTACTGTGCGATACCCGTGGCTCATCAGCTCTATTTATAAATGCTGGGGCAGAGCTTTTCAGAAAGCTATTCATCATTGCAGGAAGAAAAAATTAATAATCTGGGGCAGCAGTGAGCTGGAAGTATATGAAGTGTTGCTCCTTCCCATAATGCTCAAGCCTTGCCGTTCTCATGTGGAGCTGAAAAGTGGGAGTTTGTATGGTGAGGAGATCTGCACTAATGTCTTCTAGGGAGCTGACGTTCAAGAAAGGGGACACGGTGTACATCCTCAGGCAGATCGACCAGAACTGGTACGAAGGAGAGCTCCGGGGGCAAGTCGGCATCTTCCCCATTTCCTACATCGAGGTGCGCCAGCCCGAAAGCCGCTCGTCTCTGTTGGCACCTTTGTCCGCCTCCGGCCGCCACATCTCCCCCCTCTGTCCCTCTCTCTCCGCGCTCCCGCAGAAACTCCCGCCCGCCGAGAAGCACCTGCCGGCACGGCCGCCCCCGCCGGCACAGGTCCGAGAGATCGGGGAGGCTGTGGCCAAGTACAACTTCACCGCGGACACCAATGTGGAGCTCTCGCTGAGGAAGGTAAACCAAGATCCTGACTCCTTGAACCCCAAGGCGTTTCTCGAATAGAGCAGAGTTGTAAACCCGGTATTCCGGGCCAAATTCCCCCCCTGGTCTTTACCCACCATGGCCTCCTAATAATCCGCATCTCTGAGCTGGCTTCATCGCTCTGCTCTCCTCCCCGCCGATACCTGAAGTGTGGGGAGCGGACTGGTGCGCTCTGGCTGCCGTCACGTCATCCAGGTGGGGCTGCACCTTGGTGGTGCAGTGGGATCCCCCATTAGCTGTGAAGTAATTTGAGCGGAGTGTCCAGAAAATTGCTACATGAGTGTAAGGATATTATTCTTATTGTTATTGTCATTAGCCCTGGGTCTCCTATCAGGTGCTGTGGATCTCGAGCGTCCCAGATGCGAACAGCCCTCACAGGTGGCCATGTTGGGGGGCATGTCCAGGTCCCACTCTCCCCCCCCCATGGTTGCAGGAGCCCCGTGTCAAACTGAAGTCAGGAAAGAAGCTGTGGTGCTCGTCCTGTTCCGATTCTGACAGCCTGCCTTCCTTCCAGGGGGAGAGAGTCATTCTTCTGAGACAGGTGGATCAGAACTGGTACGAGGGGAAGATCCCAGAGACTAATAAGCAAGGCATCTTCCCTGTGTCCTACGTGGATGTCCTCAAAAAGTCCCCTACCAGGAGTCCAGGCCACTATCCTGACCCGCCCATTCCTCAGAGCTACTCCAGCGACAGGATACACACCTTAGGATCCACAAAGGTACGAGGCTGTCCCACTCCCTTTTAAACCAGTGTTTGTCTTCCGGTCCCCGGAGGTGTTCCGTAACTGAGAATGATCTGATTTTCCTAGCACCAGTGATTTTGTCTGTTTCACACGTTGCCTCTCTCTTCCGCGGTCTCGGTAAACCACGTTTATCAGAAAAAGACAGGCGCCACTCAAGAGTGAAGATGTAGCAAATGAGCTGTAACATTCAGCAGAACGGAAGAATGAGATTGAGTTGACATGTTTCGTTTCAAATGCTGGAAAAAGACCGTCACTGCACAGACAGACTGGTTTAACTATTTTACTTCAGACAACAGCATTCCAAGCACTCACATAAACTGCTTTGAGGTTATTAACGTATTTAAAATTTCACATGAAACCAACTGCTCTCAAACTGCGTTGCGATCCCAAGGCAGGTCAGCCTTTTTGATTTCATAGGTTGGCCTGAGGAGTTTTTTAAAACCGCTGTCAGCTTCAAATGCCACTATAATTATATGAAATTGCAGTTTTTGTGTTATCATGCGTCAGTAGCCCTACGTCTGCCCTGGTCAGGACTGAATGAGACCGTTACCTAGCAACCAGCTGAGTAGGTTGTGATTGAAGACCATTTGAGAGGCTGCTCTAGAAATCGTTTTTTTTTGCGTTGGGCTGTTTTTTCGGAGGAAAGGGGGAAGGAAGGAGAGTATACGAAGGAGAGACTCCTACCACCTCTAGGAGAAAAAGGGGCTGGCCGCATGATTCGCACAGAAGTAAAAAAAAAAAACAAGAAATGGCAAACATAATTCAAATTATTTGGAAAGTGGATGGTAGTTGCTCTGAGGCGGACCCATACTCACAGAGTGTGGCTTGATGTGTGGAAATTCTGGCAGAATTGTCTGAAATTTAGACAGCTCTTTAATGGAAAAATAAATACAGGGCCCATTGCGCTCTTGAAGATGATGTTACACGGGACCCTGCTTCGGGGCTCTGCGCTCGTCCGTACAAGCTCGCCTCTCCCATAACCTGCACGTTTTTACCTGTTACTGCTGGAAATAAAGTTTTAGACTGTGTTTTTTGTAGCTATTGCCTTCTAGTATAATATTGCATTTCTTGTTGAAAAGAGTATTAGTGGTTCTCATCCCACAAAGGATACTGGAGTTGTATAGTAAGTTTTTCGGCATCAGTAATACACCACAGAGCAGAGAGGTGTGACGCTAAAAAAAATACCTTTTTGTTTTTTTTTAAATACTTCTTTTGTCCATATTTTTGGGATTAAGTGAAATGTTATAGCCAAGTGGTAAGGAATTAAATGTTTGATAGCCATAAAACCAGTACTGAATATAATCATTTAAAAGGCATAAGCAGTACAAATGTATATACTTTTTTTTATAGTTATTAGAGATAAATTAAGCATTATCTGAAGTCTTTTGATAAGTTAATTTAACATTTTTAAATGTTGCTGGCATTAACTGATTGATGAAGGTCTTCCCTAGTGTACTGTATAACTGACAGACTTCGATTTCATATACACTTCAGTCAATTTCATTTCATGTCAACTCCAGTCGAAAGTAGAAGGGATAAAGTGAATACCCAGGTACTTATACAGCTTGCGTGGACTTGAACAGTTCTGTCTTGGAATGGATCAGATTAAAAGTATTACTCAGATTAGTTCTTAACGCATTTTGATGCAATGCAAGCATGTCTTTAAGTTTCCTGCCATGTGGTCATTCGAGCTACTTCACCTTTGGATAATTTAGTCCCTACATGGCCACAGTAATGCTGGAATCGTTGTTAATACCGTCTTACGCTGTGACTAAGCTGTTTCCCATTGGGAAGATGTGCACTATAGTCAACATCCACAGTCATTTAACAGTCCCTTACCAGCCAGGGGGAGCCATGTGTTGTTTAGTGTGGAAAGTACTGGACTTGGAGTATCTCTTGACTCGGTGTGATGTTTTCATGCTTCACAGAGAAGCTTAGCTCAACGCTGGGGATCTAGCTGCTGAAGCACATAGAACTCAATAGTGTCTCCCAGTGCGGTTCTGTGCTTGGTTTTCCAAGAATTCTGACCACGGCATATAATTGTAGGAGAAAGGCAACAGGATGAGTAACAGGTATAACTAGAAAGTAGAGGTGATCCTAACTGCGTACACCAAGTTTCTGTACTTCTCCCTGTGCAGCCTCTCTGAGCTGAGCAGCATGTTTCTGTACAGAGCAGATTCTCCAGATTAGAAGAACATGAATTTTTCTGGGGATGTGTATTTCTCTTTCACATTGATAATGAGCTTCATCCTTCAGTGTTTTTTTTGCTGCCTGCCAGCTGCATGAAACCAAGGGAGGCTCTTCTCTGAACGATCATGGGTCGGCATCCCTTTGCTTTCCTGCTTCTGAGGCGGTGTGGTGTTTTCCTTTATCTTGCCTTCTGTTCTCCTCCTTCCTAAGCGCCTGTCTTCTCTCTTCCAAGATCTCGACCCGCCCGCGGTTCAGCACCCCGTCCCCCACTTTCAGACAGCGCTCGTCCCCTTCTCTCACCCCGCAAGGGGCCCACCTGCAAGCGGTCACCAACGAGTGGATTTCCCTGACTGTAGGGATGTCCCCCAACGGCACGCCCGCGCCCACTCCTCCCCCTTTCCCTCACAGCTTCCTGTCTGACCTGGAGGACCTTGATTCTGTAGCGTCCCCAGCTTCTGCCCCTCCGTTAGGACCTTCCGCCTCCCGGAGAATCATCTCCTCTAGAGTCGAGGAAGGGCAGTTCATCCCCATCGCCTCCCCTGAAGCCTTCTCCAGCCCGCCAGAGGCGGCCCCCTCTCCACTGCCCTGTTCGAACCCGAACGGCCTGAGCGAGGCGCAGAGTTCAGACTCCTCGCGCGGGAAGGAATGTGGTCCCGGGGGAGCGGCTGGGTCCTGCCGTCCCGGCGGCGCGGTTGAGTTTGACTCCGATTGGCGTCTTTCCGCGCGCCAGGGACTGTCCCCCACGGCAGACCAGGAGGAGGAGCTTTGCCAGGAGCTGCTGTCCATCACCCCAGCCAGCCAGTCACAGGGGGAGGTTCAGCCAGGGGCGGGGTCTCGCAGGCGAGCGCCAGGTGTGCTAGGGGAGCTTCCTGAGCTCTACATAGAGGAGGAGCCGGGCGAAAACTCACAGGCTCCCCCAGCGTGTAAGAGCCTGGCCCCGGTGAATAGCGAAGATTCAAAGTCAAAGCGGCAAGAGGTATCATCTGCGTTTTTTACATACACCTGTGGTTGTGCTTTTCGTCTTCCTACAAACCTGCATACCTTAACCCATTAGGTCCAGCAGTTATTGAAGTGCAATAATAACTCCTCCTTGACGTAGTGTACCTATGTTGGGGCAAGTATGAAGTTTTTGTTTTAACCAAGCATAGCATCCTGTGATAGCCTTTGTGGGTGAGGCAGAAGCTCAGCATTAAAATAAGCACAGCGGACTTATTGTGATTGAGGGAGAGCAATATAGTAGAATTTTATACCTAGTGTTTGGTGAACTTAAACAGGCTCAGAAAAACTCTGATTCCCTTGTACATGTTTGATAGACTCAGGCTAGTTTACATCTTCAGAAATTAGTTGAGTGCTGTGCTCTTTGTTGCTTTCTCCATTGCCTCTTTCACTAGGCTGCTGTTTCTTCAGAGGCGCTGCCGCCTGCTCCTTCTTCCATTCCTTCACTGCCTGCACCCTCTTCGAAATCATCGTCCCCCCCTCCTCCCCGCTCCACGCCCCCCCAGGCTGCTGTCACAAACTCCCCCCCTCTCTCTCCAAAGCACTCTCCCCGACTGGAGTCTAGGTCTCCCAAAATTAAGGTAAAAAAAAGCTGCTGTGTTTTTCCCCGTAACTCATTTAACTGCACCGCTTGATAACACACTAAACGTGTCTGTGGACTCTGTCTTTGACATGCTGTTTATTATCCGAGCATGGCTGTGAGTTCACACTGCTTACCTGTGCTACTCTGGACTCCTCACACTACACACTGCAACACTGTATTACAGAAACAGCAGTTTTTTATTCCCTCCAGCACTTGCCTGTTTTTAAGGCTGTAGGTTTAACAAGATTAACTGAAACTTTTATTGTCAATCTTAAAAGGTAGGAGGGTGACCCACACAATCATGGGTGGAGAAAATATTTGATCATTTGAATTTAACGGATTATCTAAACAATTATTTAGTAGAGTCTGACTTCAAAGGCTAGTGATTTTTGTTGTGCCAAGTGATTTATTTGCCTTAGAAAGCATGATTTCCATCTCAGCCCAGATACCACTGTAACTAAATCACAGCGGTTTTATAAGTTTTAATTGTCCTTCTATTTGCAGCCTCCTCCAGCTGCCTTTGAAATAGAGGCTGAATGAGCAGGAAGCTGTCTGTATACTTAAAATTTAGATAAGGATATTGAACCATATTTAAAAACTAACATGCATATAATATGTTATTAATTTCCCCTGCCTTCGTAGCTAAACCTTGCAGCTTAATAACTTAATAAAATACAAACACGTGCCTACTGTTTTGTTTTTTTTCCAGTAGGTGATGTTGTACGTTTCCAGTTTAAATCTGTGGACTTTGTGACTTTGCTGTGAAATTGCTGTGACAGTAAAACCCCTTTTTGTTTTTCGTCCACAAAATCATTCCCGGCTTGTTGACGTTGTCCTTCACCGGGAATCTTCAGAGAATGCTCCCGGGTGTTGTTTGGAGAAGCATGTGCGTTCAGTGTGTGTGCCCCTGCCAGCTGTAACGTTCACGGGGTGTTCTGATTCTTTCAGCACGCTCTCAAACGCGATGTTGTTGTTGTCGGTAAGCCTCCTCGTAGCCCGGTGATGTCTAGGAGGTCCTGTGGATCACCGGTTAGAGGTCAAAGCTTTTCGCCATCACATAGGGTATGGGGGATGTGTCCTCTGAGTGTGTCCTTTCCGCAGGTGTGGTCGTGGGTCTGTCGCATAATCTTTAAAGTTCACGTATCCCTTTTTTCACAATTGTTACACCATACTTCGTAATTGGTTTACTGGAGTTGATTCGGGGTTTTGTAAAAGGTAGCGTCAAATTATTCATTTTGAAATGTACTCTTTTTGTGGATGCGGCGCTGGGATACCTTCAACTTTAATGACTTGTCTGCGTGTGTGTGTGTGCGCGCGCTTTGAAGCTGAGCATTGTGAGGAAAGTAAAGTGTAACGCAGAGAGGCTTTCACGGGCTGGGAAAGCACAAGAAGGCTGTGCTCTGGGGGGAAGTGGGACTTGTGCATGCAAAAACCACGTGCTGGAGTGAACCTGCATGAGCCCTCTTGGTGACATCGGTGAAGTCAGTGTGGACTTTGGGAAGTGTTTTGTTAACTTCTGCTGTACTCAGTGGTTGAATTGTAAAGGGCATTACGATTGTGTTGCCTTTTCGGAAGTTGTTTTTTTTTTTCTTTATGATCTTCTTGAGAATCACAAGGCATGTGTTTTGGTTGAAGATAGCAGGGCTGAATATATAAATCTGTAGCAAAGGGTTTGGCTTGCACATGGTAGACATTATCCTAAAAACAATATTATTTTGTATCTATATGAAATGTTTTTTTTTCATCTTAGGAATGTTGAATTATGTTTTCTGTGTACACAGCTTAGACATGGTGTACCTGCCAGGTCCAGACAACCATCCCTTTCCCCCAAATTCCTTCCAAAAAAGGGGAGTACAGTCCTCATTGTCAGCATTTGGCTTTGTCCTCTTTGTGCTTGCACAAGGCTGGAGTGTGCAGTGGCTCTGGCTTTTCTGTCGAATGCTTCAAAGTTGTGCTGTGAGATGTTTCACGTGAACTGTTGCACGCTCGTATAATTTTGCATTTTGTTTTTCAGCCACAGCGTCCGGCGTTCGTCCAAGATGCTTTACACAGTGGCGGAGAACCGTGAGTGTCCTTCGCTTCTCCTGGAAAGATTTCGAAGTTGACCTTATTCGACAGCTTACCAAACAAATTTTACACTTGTAATTATTTGGTAGATCAAGATATAGGTATACTGTACCTCCACTCCACAACATCTTGAAGCCTGTTATTGGTGTAATTATGTGAAGAGGGTGGAAATGGAAGGCAGCGATATTCAGTAGGCAGGGGTGGGTGAGAGCACATGCTATCTGTTCACCCCTGAACAGACAATGTGTCCTCTTTAAAAATGTGTTGAGGAGGAAGTTGTACGATACGAGCCTGATGGTTTGTAATCCTTACTAGGAAAGCTGTGGAAAGCTACTTACTGTATGTAGCATCACACGCCTGCTAAAAAGATCCATTGGGCAGCCATTGCATCTACGAGACAACTTCTTTGGCAGTGTTTTTAATATGTGTTAGAGATGACAACTCATGCTATCTGTTGAGGAGGTGAAGAACAAGCAAAATTAGTCATTTATTTGGCTTTTATCCCGATTGACTTAAGTTCACAGCTGTGAAAATACTGCCGTGAATTTTACCGGAGCGATCTGGGTGAAGCTCAAGGGTTCCATAGCACGGTCTCAATTAGGCATTGAACCTGCAACCCTGGGTTTAAGAGTCTAGAAGTCTGACCACTGCTCCACCCTGCTGGACTCGGCCCCTCGGTCCATCCACGCATCATCTGTTCCTCCCCAACTCTGAGTCTCGTTAGGCTCTTCTTTAAAACAATCCTGTTTTAAAGATTGTTTTAAATCCTCAGTGGTCACATGGGTGTCATTTGATACTTTGTGAATATAAATGTGCTCTTTTGATTGTGTCATGGAAAGACCACTCTTTTTTGTGTGTGGCTTGACTGAGCTCTGTAATTATGTGGCCCCTCCGCTCCCCGTGCTTGATCCTCTGAGCCCCAGCGCATCGCTCGCTTGGTCCTCTCTCTGGCCAGCGCCGCAGGTAACCGGGCCCACAATCTCTCTCCCCCCCCCCCCGCAGGTTTCAGGCTCTGTACAACTACACGCCGCGGAATGAGGACGAGCTGGAGCTCAAGGAAGGCGACGTCGTGGATGTCATGGAGAAGTGCGATGACGGCTGGTTTGTCGGTGAGTGTCGCGAGGCCCAGAACGAGGCGGGTGGTCCGGGTTCGGCAGGACGGGGGCAGCCAGTTCTTTATCAGGCGGCCCTGCGCGCCGCGCCTGCCGCCATTCCTCCGCCATGACGCGAGCCGTTTTTCCAGATGTGAGCTGATCGCGGGGCCCGCCAGGTGGTCTCCGTTCTGTCAAGAGCAGCTGTTGCGAGCCGGCGGGATTACCGAAAGAAACGCGCAGAGGTGTGGGAAACCTGAGAAGTTGAAGAAGGCTGCTGAAGGTCTACCCAACCGAGCTTGTGCTGGCCTTGCCTTCTCTCGACTGGTCCTCACGCCTCTTGGCCATACTGACATGCTCCAGCAGGGGGAGCTCCTCTTCATGCTGCTTTCCCTGGAGCTCTTGGTGTCTCGGTACAGCATAGCGTCGCCTGCGAGCGACCAAGCTGTGGATCAGCAGCATCATACTGATTGAATATGCCCATACTAGCTGGATGGCATGTTGCCTGTAGTATCTTAGGTCAAGTAGATGTTGAATCAGTCGTTGTGTGGCAGTCACCTGCGATTTCTGTGCAGATCTGCATGACTCACCAGTCCCAGCGATACATATTTAGGATGAAGGTACCTGAGCGTGTCAAGAGGCTTGTGCTTTCTTTCAACACCTGCTGTGTTTCCTCCCTTCCCAGGAACGTCAAGGAGAAGCCTGTTCTTCGGGACCTTCCCTGGGAATTACGTAAAGAGGCTGTAACATTGCGGATTGTTGTCGGTGATATTTTCGCCTGCTCAGCACAACTCCTACAAGACATTGGATAAGAACAGCCAGAGAAGAAAAGGAAATACCACACAGACGCGTGGGTTTTACACTGAAGATAACCTTTAGCTATAACTAGCCATCTTTCTAGAAAAGTAGTACGGTAATGTTGAAGTAAATTGAATTATGTTTCAGTTATCAACTTAGCCAGGGAGAAATACAATGGAGGAAAAAAAAGGATGGAACTCGTCCCCCAGCTGAAGAAAGGAATGAGACCCCCCTCTATCTCGCCACAGTCCAGAGGGGTAGTGCTGCTGAAAAGCATTTCATCTCTTTATTTATTAGCAGTGATGTGTGAGATGTGGCTGTTGCAGAGGGCAATGAGTATGAACGGTTCGGCACAGGACGATGGAAAGCTTCTTTGTTCGATATCGTTCTCTTTATTAAGAATCTTCAGTGAGTCTTGCTGATAGATTCCATAACTAGGATATTGCCTTGTGCATCGTTGCCTTTTTTCTGTTTTTTTTGTGAGGCACAATGTAAGTTAGTATATTAGATTACAGTAGATACATCCTATAGCTTTTCACCATAGGGAGAAAAAGGTTCACGTTGCATCGGATGTAGACGGGACTTTGGACTTCAGACTGAATCTTCCCGAGAGAAAACGTAACCAGTATGCAGTGTTATATTAGTGCCAGGCATTATGGCTTTCATCTAAACCATTCCTACATTTAAGTTCAACTACAGTAGATGAAGGATCTTGAAATCTCGTTACTATAAGAGGTACAGTATCAGAGGTATCAAATTGTACTATAACTTCAGTGCATTAAATGAAACTAGTCTGGTGAGGAGCATTTGGAGATTTAGAGGTCTGAAAAAGATGTCTAAGCTGTTTTGAATTGAGATTTTTTTTAAAACAATTCTTACCAGAAGTTTCTAAAAGTATTTTACAGATAATAAAGACTTGGGTGCTCGAGGTTAAGGATAAACACCTGTACATGAACAAAAGCCAGTTTGAAAATCCTATCTTAAAAACAGATTGAAAACTCCCTTTTTTTTTCTTCATCTGAAACCAAAAGCTGTAATAGGCAAGGTTTCTAATGACAAAACTGCCTGCCGTCTGTTTCTAAGGTTTTTGTGGAAGATGATTTGGGTCTCGTGTAGTGTTCAAACTTACTGGGGTGGGAGGGCACCTTTTTTAACTAATCTTGTTGCATTGCATTTGGCACTTGCTAATGCAGATTGGAGTTGTTTTATATGTTTTTTTCCTGTAATTGATATGACTAGAGAAACTGGGGGAGAGTATACCTGACTTTTAAGGGACAACTATGATTTTTTTTTTAAAACAAGAGTTCCTTAAAGATCAGTATAAAGCAGTAATCTGGTCATTGCGCATTTCTTTCTCATGTCCAACAGTCAAATTCCTTATATATATATGTGTGTGTGTGTGTTTGTATGTATACGTTAATTATTTAAAACATTTATGAGGGACGTAAATCCCCAAAGTTTATTTAATTGTTCGGTAACTTGTTTTGAACATTGCTTGACACATTTATTTCTTTACATATTGGAGAAGAAGTAACTTCCTGCCACAGCAAGGGCTTCGCCAGAATATTCTAGGGAGTGTTGACGTGAAAGCCGTGGCATCCCGTTAATTGAAACAGGAAACAGAACTGTGTTTGTTGCAGCTGAATGGTTCACATTAACACCACGACTTCTCTCATCTTTTTCTACAAGAAGCAGTAGATCCCTCGACATGTGAAATAATACTGTGTAGGCACTCAGTATTGAAAGTGGTGTGATTGAAAACACAAACTACACGTATGGCAGTATCATATTTTAAGCACCTTAAAATGTCATTCTTTCGGTTTTCACGTCCATGCCTGAATTTACCACATTGTCTGTAGCGTTTTGTAAGTCTTTTGTATGGAAGAATCCACTGCTTTATAAAGTATTTCTCACCCAGCATCAGTTTCCTTTTATTTTATTCCTTAAAACGTCTCATGCATCACATTGTTCACATTCACATCTAGATGGTCCAAATCTGCAAAATAGATTTATGCAAAATTTAAATCATTAAAAAAAATATTAACACTAGTATTACCAGCAAAAAATAATAATAAACTGTGTACATAAATCTTTGTAAGTATTGGGTTACAAGAAATTAAGAAATATACGGTACTCTTTTACAGTACAACTTTGTTACAGCAACTTACAGTGCGTAAAGTTTTGAATTTTGGGAGATTTCAATTTTGAATTAAAGCATGCAGCTTTGCTACGAGAGTCACCTCTGTCAGTGGCACTCTTTATAATGAACCTGCAGTGTTTTGGTCCGTTCCAGTGAGACTCTTTTCATTTTATTTTAGAAGAGTTCTTCATCTGGTGAGCTCTTAAGGAAATGATGCAGTGGCGTTCTTACAATCAATGTTTTTTATGTTTTTTCTTCTTTTGTGGAATTGTATACCTAATAAATTCTGCCTGATATGTTTTTGCCCCATTTTTATTTTGTATCAGCCCATATATACGATTGGCATTTACTCATGATTGGTCCAATTCTAATATTGAATGCCCCTTTTCTTAAAGATGGAAATAGTGTCAAAACCATGCAAAGCCAGTTACAGTTAGCTCATCGCATGATGTCTGGGAAAGCTCACGTGGGTGTTGTGTTTGGGATAAGTCGCTGGAAATAGCTGGGCGCCCAAAGGGAGTTCAATACTGGCACCCTCAATCGCAGGGCCATGTGAAAACAGCTGGACTGATTTCCTCGGCTGTAAATTACTGTGTGTGCCCTAACATTCATGAGTTCAACATCTGAGCTTTCTGCAGGTGGAAAGGGGGGAGGAGATCTGTAGATAGTACATGTTGAAGAATGGAAACAAAATAATGCAGCTGTTCTGTATCTTTCACATGGAAAGAGACACAGGACAGCTGCATTAGGAACATTGCATTTAAGTGATTGTGGATGCATTCACTAGAAAAGTGATTGCATTTGTATAGCCCCTTTTTTCTCAAAGGATACTAAAGTACTTTGACATATACAGTATAAAAGAGAACCTGCTCGATCTGCTGTCAGCATTTTGTCCTCCCCTGGGTGATGCAGTTCTCCACCAGGAGCCCTGCTACACTGCAGATCGGGTGGAGAACTGAGGTTACCTCGCCGGTTGAATTGAGGGAGAAATCCTTTGAGGACTGAATTGAGGTTGTCTGGGTTCAAAGCGGAAATTAGCCAGGACACTGGGTGAACACCACTACTCTCGTGGGCAGTGCCTTGGAGTCAACTGAATCTGGGACCTTGGATTAAGGTCACATTTGGAGGGTGAAGTCTCCTTCATCACAGTGTCTGCTGTTGCCATACGTGAGCATCTGTTTTGAAATTCTGACCATGGGAGAAGAGTGCCACCTACTGGTCCACCAACACCCCCTACAGCAGCAAGCTGGTTTCCTCAGAGGTCTCCCAACTCAGCACTGCCCGGGATCAGCCCTGCTCCATGCCGACGATCGGAGGGGTTGGGTACAAGGCGCTAATGCTCTGGATGTAAGTGAGAAGGCACACCTCAAAGGTTTTATTATTAAAAAATGTCATTTTTATAACAATACACCGTTATAAAACAGGTTTTAGATTGCTGTCGTTTTTCCATCGCTGTGAGCGGAAAATCTAAGATAATGTGTCTTGGTTTTAAAATTGAAATGGAATAAAAATTGTACAATTGTGCCTCCTACGAAACTAAAGTGGGTTTAAATTCAAATTGTATTAAATATTATTCCTCAGTGCTTTCTGCTACCTTGAAAAATACAAATATTTTTCCAAAGTTCAGTCCTCTGAAACTGAAAGTTTCTTCTTTTATTAAATGTATACCCTTTCTTGATCGCTGCAAAGAAGCCATAAAATATATTATGTGAAATCTAGCTACAAACAGGGTGGCATGGTAGCAGGGTGGTCAGCATTGCTGCCTCACAGAACGGGGGCTCTGGGTTCAATTCCAGAGCTGCTGTCTGTGTGGAGTTTGCATGTTCTTCCCACGCATGCACGGGTTTGTTCTGGGTGCCCTACTTTCCTTCTGCACTCCAAAGACACGCTGGAGGGTTAATTGGCTTCTGGGAAAACTGGCCCTGGTGTGAGTCTGTGTCAGTGGCCTGTAGCTGTCCAGGGGGAACCCCGCCTTCCACCCATTGCATGCTGGGATAGACTCTGGCTCCCCCGTGCCCCTGAGTTGGAAGATGTGTTTAGAAAATGGATTGATGGGTAAATTAAAATATTACATAATAAATGGCTTAAATATTGTATGCCTTCAATATTTTATCACATCTAATACAGTTTTTGTTTTTGCTGTTAACTACATTATGAAATTGTCTCCTTCTGAAAATACTGTACATGTGCTCATGTGCCCATAGGCTGTTTCCCCAGAAGCAGTGCCAGCTTTTCACATAGGCGTACTGATGGACGCTTCTGTCAGCAAAAACAGACCAAATCGCTTAATCGTCTTTACTTTACCTTGAGTGTTTTTCTTGCTTTGAAAAAAACTTGGTCGTGTCTCAAAGTGACTAGTAATTCTGGAGACGGGAGCCGACCCTGGCATAACCTTCCTAACTCACCAGGCACGCAGTAGCATTGCTACTTCTTGTCCTCTTGGCGTGTTTATCACATCCTAATCCTTATACTCTGTGCTCCCACTTCCGGATACTGATCTTAACCACTGGACAGGGTCCTCCTCAGCACCTCGCTGGTGGGAGTCTCCTGCTCTCTCTGCAAACCACTGTCCTTAATCCCCCTTCATTTATGTGAAGACTGTTTGGTCTCTGTGCCTCCATAGCAACCACTGCTAAATAACTTGAGTCAAGAAATCCACTCCAAAAACCTTGGAAATCTGTTTTTCCTGTCTTGGAGCAGAGTCATCGCAAGGACTTTGAATCGGAAGCGAGCGCAATTTACCAATTAAAAACGGTTAAATTTTAAGTATGAAAAGTTTTACTCTATTTAAGAATAGCTGCCATTTAAACATCCCTTTGTTTAAATGTACAAAGATTTATTATGCGGCTCGCAGGACCATCAAGCAGGCTAAAAGCGAAGTTTCTCCTTGTGGTGATTCCTAATGACAAAGAGCCCCAGAAGGTACTGTACACACACACACCCAGGGGATTAATGGAGGAGGAACCACAACAGAAATGTGACTCTGCTGCTAACCAAAGGATTTTGTGTGTAGGAATTCAAAAAAAAAATCAATGGCATGTGCTAGTTAGCGAATTTTCATTTAGACTCCAGAGCCTCTTCAGAAAGAAAAAAAAAAACTTGCTGGGTTTGTTCCAGATCAATACGTCAGGAATGTGTCTGCATAATCTCAGTTGCCTGATCAAGCTTTAACTTCAAACCAAATAAGGACACAAGTTGCCAAACTTAGCAGAGCTGTTTAGCCTTGGATCTGAGGAGAGGGGTCGGCCCCTGATGAGAGGAGAACGCTTCTGATGCAGAGCCTCTGGAAAACAGAGGGCGTTTCAGCAGAGTCAACCCTCACCTTTTACCATATGTAGTGTTATTTCGTTTTGCCCGTATTGTTTTTGACTGTCAGTTTATAAGATCCGTGACAGGATGGCATTTGTTTTCTGTTTCTTAACCAGCTCGTTCCGCACCGCTGGTGCTGTGTAATAGTTTTTCTGAACCGGAGGATAAATGACAGTTGGCGTTTTCGCACGGGGGTGTGATGGCAGTCCCCTGCCGGGTCCTGCTCTGGGGATCCTGAGGTGGGAGAAGAAGCCGGATGCCGCGTTTGTAATAGTTCAAGAACATTTCAAAGAAACCTACGAGTTTCTATTCCAGTCGGGGTCCTGGAGCCTTCTGCAAGCCCGGTGCTGGTGTACAATTGTTAAACATCTCAAACCTTGTACGGGAACATTTTTAACCATTTCATGCGAAAACCCACCTCCGGGTGCCTCAGATCAGAACGTTCGTCTTCAGACATCGCTGTTGAGGCTTCACAGGAGTGAGTGAAGGGGGGGCCTGTGGTGCTCCTGCAGTCTTTTTCCTCTGTGGCTAAGGGCCGTCGAGTCGGGTGCGCAGGTGTGCTCGCCGCGCCTGGCGCTCACGCGGTGGGGCCGGGGGGCCGGGGGCTGGCAGAGAGCAGGCCAGGGCTGCAGCAGGTCCCCCGCTCTGCCCCATGAGCTCACTCGCAGGCAGAGCCCCGCCTTCTGCCAGGGAGGGTCTCGGAAAGGGCCCAGGGCTTAAGAGCTGCTGCTCAGCTCCGGGGAGGAGGCTGTTGCCGGAGGAGCGAGGGCTGCACTGATCGACCGCTCTGCCGCCGGCCGGGAGGCGCGCACGGGACCCACGCTGAAAATGCCACAGAACGTGGTTCTTGAGGGTCCAGCCCCGTGGGGATTCAGACTGACGGGCGGAAAGGACTTCAATCAGCCTTTAACTATTTCAAGGGTGAGTCCCTTTAAATCCGTGAATCACAGGGTTCTTGATTCAGGGCTCTTTAGACAGTCAAGACGAATGTGTTGCATACAGCATGTGTCTTTTTCTGTTTTCTGATCTTGCTGGTCCCTTTTGTAAGTAGAGAAAATTGACTAATAACACGATAAGCCGTCACCCAGGATCTTCAATTACGGAAAAGGTTCCAGAACTGATTAACGACTTAACATGCATGAATACAGGAGAGGCTGCCAGAGAAGAGCAATATCCACAGTTCCAGGTTCTGCCGATATGCATGCAGCACGTACTCTAAACAAGTTTGAAAAAGTGTCCTAGTCTGATGCAAAAATGTCTCAACCAGCAGAAAGACAACGACGCAACAGCAGAAACTGATAAAATATTGTCGTGCATTCCCATTTCACCCTTTATATTCTACAGCTCTGAGCTCCCTTTTGAGATTTTGTGCAATGCCTTGGCAGTAGCAAGAGTTGGAATTTCTCTTATTTCTTGAATATAATATCTGCAAACTGGGGTCACCGTGCAGCACCGTGCAGCTTTGTGAATTGGTGATGTGGCTGTCTACTGTCATCCTTAGCAAACTGAGATTTTAAGCTACATTTTGGCTAAATTATTTGATTAACTTCAAATATTGTTTTAATTGATTTCTGAGGACAAAGAAAACTGAATACAGATTGAAATCAATTACATACTGGAAGGATCAGCTCCAGTAAATAAACTGTAAGATAATGGAGGATAAGTACAGGGATGTAGTACATTCAGTAAACTGACAAAAATGTATAATCAAAATAAGACCAATAAATGCCATCTTCTTTTGGAAGGTCTTACTCAGATCTCTTGGGCTGCCTTAGATAACAAACTGGTCTAGGTATTTATATATTAAGTTTTTACTGAACAGCAGTTAATAAACAAGAATGTTTTGAAACAAAAGTGTGCGCCTTGATTAAATGTAAATGTGTATATTGCCACTGATATGATATACTCTGATAAGAAATACACTGCCCTTCCCGTAATATCAGAGATTGGTGTGTTCTGTAGGAAATAAAACTTCATTCCAGAATATGGTACATCTCAAGATTCCCACGGTCTGTTAAGCAGTAGCAAACCAGACCTTTACATCAGCGTGCTGTGCTATGTTCATGTAAGGTACTTCCAAAGAAACTCAGATGATGGTGTCAATTCTTCTGATGTACCTCTGAAGGAAACAGCAGACCTGCCTAACTTATCTATCCAGGCAGCACTAGGGTTAAGAGGCAATGTCTAATGGATAAAGACACCTTTGCAGAGTCCAATTCAGGCAGAAAGATGCTCCTGAGTTACCGTATAGATTTCATGCAGATCTCCATTAACTGTCGCTGTATCTCCACAGGCACCTGAATCTTTATTGGAATCAATGCATTTTACCTGTTGCGTTTCTGGTCGCTACGCGAGCCCCTGTCTGGGTAGAAAGGTGTATATGAGTATATCGAATCCTCACTCAAACATACAGCAGAGTGCAAGAAAATGTGTAGATCGGGAATGGATAAAAATCCTAGCGTTAGATAGTAAGAAAATGAAAACTAATGAAAGTTTGGCTAGGTGTGTTTTTTTAATGCTACTGTAGCAGAGCACAGCCCGACTGTATCTTTTCTTAGTATATATTGAGACACTCGGTGAAACTGGTCTTCAGAATCATGCTTGAAATATCGGCTTTACGACAGGTCAGCCAGGAGCACTAACGAAAATAGAAAAGCCACATCGCACGATGAACGGCTTTTTATACCGCCCTCCTCCCTTCAAAATCACACCAGCCCAAAAGTTTACAAAGTGGAAAAAGCCGTCAACAATGCACGTCTGTGGGGCGCGATAAATGCATTTATGGGTTGTGAATCATTTTCGTTACCTCTGCCATTTTACAGTTACCTGCATTCATAAGATTTTCATAAACAGGAAAGACGGCGTCTTTCTATAAAAGGCACTTAAAACACTTAAAAGGTAGATTAAAAGTCGCACTGACTGCAGAAGGGCCTGTATTAATAGAGCACACGCGATGAATCTACTTTTCTTATGCTCAGCGATTTGGGTGACCGTGCAATCCAACAATTAATACGCGAGGGCTAATCCTGTTCTCGAACTGGCTATATATAGGCATTTTGTTAAGACCCTTGCCGAAAAAGCCCCATGCTCTCACAGGAGCGTAATGCGTGATGTTTGCGCCGGCGGGTGAAATGAAACACTGCAGGAGTCGCCGCACCTGTTTTCAGAGCAGATGTCGGTCCCCCTGGCCGCTCTCGTTAGGCAGCCCAAAGGCCGTCAGGCAACACTAAACAAGCTGCTGGACTCCGTGTTGAGCCAAAGACTAATCAGGCTGTCCCCTGTAGTAATGAGGTCGCAAAATAGCGAGCCGTGCCTTCCTGCAAGGCCAGCGACAGAAATGGGTTCTGAGGGGAATTAAGGAAGACAGGCCAGCTTGTGTCTAACAACTTTATCCAACTTTTCATTCATTTTGGGGGAACATCCACCTTCGGCAGAGAATTTCCCCTTAAAAAAACGAATCAGAAAATAATACACTTAGTGAGTCTTCCATATTTTTTCCACGCTCGATTGAATTCATCGGTCCGCGCAGTGAGTTTTGTTTGGTTACTTTTTCTTCCCATCTCGTCCTTATTTGGTAGGCTCGTCCAAAGGACTGTAAACCCCTCACTTTTTTTATAGGAATCGAGACGAGGCTTCCCATTAACAACACGACTCTGCTTTCCTTCAAAATGACTTTTATTGGCTGAAAAGCCCCAGGATAAGAATCAAACTGCGGGCCGGCGGTCCGAGTTTGTGGCGAGCTGCGCTTCAGTTTTGCGAGCTGCTGGAGCTGAGGTCGAGTACGACAGGACTAGTGAGAAGGGTTTGTTTTGGGTTTCAAATAGAACCGCATAAGACACGCACTTTCCTGACATGCATTAGCTCTCGTTTTTTACTGCGTGACTTTTATTTTTACGCCGTCTCCCGAGCCACAGCACACGATCATTCTACGTGCAAACAAGAGACAAACAAAAGTACGCCACATACAGTACTGCACAGGAAGCTCCCACTTTCATTTACTACTGGATAAGATTTATTTTTCAGTTAAAAAGCAGGAGGGCAGTACAGATGTTCAAAGCACTTTCCTCCCAGTGTTCCCGTTTAACGCACTGCTCGTTAAGAAGCTCTTACCTGCCACAGCGTCTGGACGAGCGCCCAGTCCAGTATCGGCGAACTTACTGGAAGATCCCGGTTCGGTTTCAGACCGGGAGCTGCTGTCTAATGACGGATCAGGAAGCAAAGCCCCAGCTGTACGTGATACCGCACAAAGGAAAAACCAACAGGCTTTGGCAACCAGCTCCTAAATCGTTATTAGCTTTTTGACAAGTGGCAACGGGCTCTGAACGTACACGGTGTTTCATTTTTCTGACTCAGAAATGCCCTCCGTCACAATTCACAGTACCGAAACAACGGTCGCCGGCCTGTTCCAAGCCACTGTATCATCACTTGATACAGACATCAAAACTTTGAAAAATTGACTTCCAGGAGGGGGGTCACAGCTATATAATGAAATAATTCGCTGATAGTTACTATAATATATATATGCAATACACTATAGATGCCATAACTCACCAGTTCAGTTGGATCAAATCACTCTCTTTGCAAACTGTCGTTGGACAGAGATACAGAGGCTTGTTCAGCACATTTGAGCAGATTCTCAGACGGTTCAAGGTCATGTTATATAATTAGATAATTAGATCATTCGTCGATTATTTTTTTGGACTGAGGGTGTCGCCAACAGAAAAATCGGGGAGGGGGGGGCAATTTCCGGGAGATTATGGATCATCTGTGGGAGTCGGGGAGGACACGCTGATTTCCGGGAGACTTGGGATGTCAGTTGATAGACGTTGGGCACAAATGCTGACCCAGGGGGGAATTGTGACCACAATGACAGAATGACACAAGAGGGACCTCCATATCAGCTCAGCGTGACGACTGTTTGTATCCGTGGCGCCTCGTACTGTATGTTACTGCACAGGTAGGACTTACAGCGGCTTCAGGTGGCGCAGTCTGCACAGTCACTGTCTGTTGAAACATGCTCCCCGGTTCAACTGCGCCCACAGAGATCTATCCATCCCTCCATCCATTCTCCATGAAGAGGCTGCTTATTCCTGGCCAGGTCCATGACGATCCTGAGCCTGCCCCAGAAGCACAGGAGACGAGAAGGACCGGCACCCAGAACGGCACCCCAGGGCTCTGTTTGGAGCACACGCACACTCGTTCATCCTGGGCGTGCCATGAAACCCCGGCAGCCTGTGGTCAGGGAGAGGAGAGACCACCAGGAGTGGAGCACCCTGGGGGCGAGCACGTGCCAGCTCCACTCAGGCAGTGCGCCAGTCTGGAGTTGAACCCGGGACCCAGGAGCCGTTTGGCAGCTGGGCTAACGCCTCATCACCGTGCTGGTGACGCTGCTGGACGCAGAGTCCTCCTTTTTATCAGAACAAAATCCGCCTGGATTTTATTTGTATTGACGGTTCACTAGGGTTAGGGTTTGGTTTAAATCCAACATTCGGCTTGACTTGAATATGTCATGTGCATCATCTTGCTCATCAGCAGGGCCATACTTATGAGGGCCATTATACTGTAACTCTCTGTTACCTAATTATTCTGGCGTTTGCAAACGTTTACGTCTCACTTGTTTTCCAAGCTCATTGGCTCCAGTACAAAGAACAGAAGAGCCCACCTGAAGTCCCTACAGTATGAGTTGACCTCAAACATTAATGGGTTCTTTGTGCTTTTACAAAAACCTGCAGTGAATTAAGCGTGAGTTGTGTTCTGTACAACATTGGGGAAAATTGTTCTGAAAACCTGTACTGCCCCCCTGCTGTCTAATTAAAAAATAAATCTTATCCAGCAAATTAAAGTGGGACCTTCCTGTTCAGCCTGTGCCGTAGACTGCTTGTCTCTGTTTGGACTTAGAATTGTACATTTTTTTGTTGTTTAAAATTCGCAATCTGAAGATTTAGCATATTCTCAGACGTTTATAAAACCATCTCTAACATGCAGTGACATGTTTACTAAACACTGTTTTTCTGTCTCATTACAGATTTCTCTGTTGACCAAAAACAACAATTAACAAAATAGTTTAAGCATCAGTTCACCATCTGTTTGTGGCCTTAAATTTTTATTTTTTAATCTTAGAAAATACACAATCGTTTAGAACTGTTCACTAACAATTACATTTTCGGTTTTTTTACATGCTCTGTCAGTTGTGTGCTTTCTGCCGTAGAGACTCCCTGCAATGGGTTTTATACAGTCTGGTTGCCTCATCTCTCAGCAGCGCCACCTGCAGGGGTTCCTTTGATAGGCAGGGAGGGCTGAGCCGGGCTGTCTGCAGACTCGGGTGTGTTGCGATGTACCGCACAGTGAACTTGCAAAGGGATGCGATGTGATGCAGGGCTCTTTCTGACAGCTTGTTACTCCACCTCTGAAAAACCCAGCTGGTTTGTCAGTTCATGGGGCTTCATTCAGATTCTCAGTACCGTAAGGAGCAATAATCTTGACACCGCATGCAATAAAGAATAAAGAAAAAGTTTTATTTATTATAAGGCAGTAATTCAATCCTTGCATTTGTGTAGGACTTTTGCTTCCCAAATGCTCCCAAAGTACTTTAAATATAAGAGGGAATCTCCCCCCACCACTGAGGTGCAACAAATGCCTGGAAGAGATCCTGAGGTCGATCTGCTGTCCCTCCACACGCAGCAGATCAGATGCAGGAGTGTGGGGTTGCTCCACTAGTTGAATTAAGGGTGAACATTAATTGGGAGACACTGTGCTTGCTCAAAGAGGAATTTCATCAGGGCACTGTTTAAACCCCTAGTATTCCGAAAAAGCGTCACATGGTCTTTGAAAACCAAGTAGTCAGGAACTTGGATTCCTGTCTCAACTGGAAGATGACACATCCTACAGCAGTGTCCCTGCTCATCATACTGGGATAATATGCGGTTTGGAAAGTTCTGCTCCAGGGGTAAGATCGCCCCCTACTGGTCCACCAGCACCACTACCGGCAGCGACCTGGTTTTCCCTGGTGGTCTCCTATCCCAGTTCATCCAGGCCCAGCCTCCCTGAGCCTCTAAAGTCTGCTGAGATCTGGCCAGAATGTAATGCAAGACGGTAGGATGAACTATTGTACAGTAAATGATTACTCGGGAGGTTTGGGAATATGCAGTTGCATTCGGTTCAAGTGAAAACCAACAACAACATATTCCTGGATAATTTGGATACAAGAAAAACAAACTGTCATGTCTAACTTTCAGACACTGAGCTGAAGAAATACAATATACCTCTTGGGCAAACCGGGACAAAACTACAAAATAACATCATGTTGTGGTTCAGGCTATGACGGGCTATGTTAAAGTGTGGGATTTGTCCAGAAAAGCAAGAAAATGTCATATTTGTGAGCCTGTCACAAATCTGAAATAAGTTAATGGAACTGCAGTATGCAGGCTGCAGTAATACTACATTATATTAGCAGATGCAGGGTATTTTGCTGCACAAAAGTGTGTGGTAATGTATTTTATTATTATAAATTTGTTTTAATTATTTCTGATTTGAACTATTCCTTTTACTGTCCTTTTTGTTATTCGTGGTTACCTATACAGTGAAAGTGGTCTTTCACCTTTTTGTTGATATCATCAATCACCCTAGTTTACAATGATTTTCCTGATCAAACTAGTTAGGTGATCAGCTGCTTATATGAAAAACAGACTGAAGAAGAGGCATACGACCCAACTCAAAATAAAAGGCTGTCGAATCACACACAGCTGTTTTGATCTCACGATACATAATTCTGCTTTAAACCTTAAAATAAAAAGTCTCGGTGACTCAGAAGACCTAAAAGGGAATCGCTGTCATGAACAGGAGGCCCAGACTTCTCCAAAAGATAAACTGATGAAGACGAGCAGCTGTGCAGAGAAAGAGAGGAATGCCTGGGGAGCTGTTGAAGGCAGTGTGAGACGAAGGACGAGGATGATGATGTCAGGCTCAAACTGTGGCTTTTGCAGCGTGAGGAGCTCTGTCTGAAGGCAGGATAAATGCCTCTGCGATTAGATCAACGGCCGGTCAATGAGAAACTCCCTCCCTCGTCTTGTAGTATGACACCGCACTCAGATGAATACATCCTCACTGATCTATTAATAGTTCATTTTCAACACAGAGCTACAACAACCCCTGAACAGCTATCGCTCTGACCTTCTTTCCATTAATTCCGTGTCTCTTTCTAATAATTGGCACAGTAGAAATTCTAAGACGAATTTAATTTCTTTTTGAGTCACTACTGAATTGACTGAGCTGATTCCTGGCCTACAGTCATTGCGGAGTTTGTGTTCCCTATAAGATCTTGTCCTGCCAGACCAGGAATAAGAGGAACCTGCGTAACATGTCCAGATGACCAGAAACAAGATTAGAGAAAGTGATTCTGACCAAGGTCGGTGAGATCGTAAGCATTCAAAGACCGTGTGTTCATGATTTGTCAAGAGATGGATTTCCACATTTAGAAGTCTTATAGGGTTGTTAAAGGGGGAAAGTCGACGGAATAATAATTTCTTCCTCCTGCACATCTCTGCTTTTCTGTAGATTACTCCAGGAAGCAAGGCTTCGCTAGCTAACCTCTGTCCAGGAGACATCATTCTGGCCATTGAAGGGGTTGCAGCTGAAGGTATGACTCACTGTGAGGCCCAGAATAGAATCAAGGACTCCATCAACCAGCTGAATCTGAAGATTGAGAGGTAAATATGCCTATCTGGGCTCCTGCCACTAAGGCATTTCCGATAACAAGCAGGACGGATGAGCACAGATGGGTGATACTGTTGTATCCACATTGCCTCAGAATGAATCCTCCGGGGCTGCAGTCTGAGGAGACGTGAGGCAGCAACAGCCAGTCTGTCTGTGCTGGGGTCGGTCTTACACACCCTGATCACACTATCTACCACTGCAAAAAGCACATTTATGTTGACAAAGTGCAAGCACACTTGTGCACCTGGCTGGAGGAGCGCATACAAACTCCTACTGTAGGTCTAGTCAGTGATGAGGGCAGAGCAGTGGGGCATGTCCATGTGGCGTTTTCTCCAGAGACGGGCAGTCAGCTTTGAGAGCTTACTCAGTGTTTACCTGGTTGTCAAGGCCGAGCTCATCCGGCCTTTCTCAGGCTCCGCCGAGTGAACTTGGCTGAGGGTTTGCAATTGCATTCCTGTGTCTTGATTCCTCCCCTCATGAAATCAGAAGGGGAAAATAAATGTTCCTGTTGAGGTGGGGCTCTTTAGGGCAGTTTAAGGTTGCGGCTCAGGAACGTCCTTGGTCTTTTTTTATGTCTCTTTGCCAGCTTCCCTTAATTAATAGGCCCATGACCCTGTCCCACAACAACCTCATTCACATCTTGGGGCATTTCGCTGGGAATCAGGCTCACTGTTCTTTGTTGCAGACCGGAAACCGAACTCTGGTCTCCACAAGTCACAGAAGATGGCAAAGCGCACCGTTTTAAAGTTAATTTGGAATCTGAACAGAAGGTAAGTAGCACTACAGTACACATTGGAGCTGTATGATTTTTTTTATTATTATCATCTGCTCCTCTGGGCAGGGATATATTATTTTTCATGGAAAAAACGGTGACATCAACTTTCACCTTTGTATTGGCATTTGAATTGTGTTCAACAGAAACACCACAACGTTTTTTCCACCTGCTCTTCTAAGGCTCTTGCATTTCATAAAAACGAGACTACTGTTAATACCTTACTTGGAATATCTCTAATGTACTAAATATTGATCTCTGAGAAATGTAGAGAGGAGTTTAAGGTTCTCCTGTTCCTAGTGTAGCACTAGGAATGGTCCAGGTTATCTTAGCTCCAGGGTGTCTTGAGGACTTATTCTGTGAGTATAATGCAGCTCTAATCTGAGGTCCGCTGATTCATTCAAGACTAATGAATAAAATGTATATGCTGCACCTTGTCTGTGTTCAATCTAGTGTCCTGACTGTGGTAGTTTTTTTTTTTTTCATTTTCCAAATTGTGTCATTTGTTCAGCCAGAATCTAACACAAGAATTGTGGGAAAGACCCAGAATTTAAAATTACAATCAAATCCTTTTTAAGAAAGATTCTTGCAGAGATTACTGAGTGCACACAGCTGACTTGAATGTCCGATGAACCTTAACCAGTTATGCAAGATTGTATTGTGAAGTTGACCATTTACAGTACATAAGGTTCTTATGTCAGCTGCAGATCTGTCAGTGTATGCCAGTGATTACTGGCAATTGATCATTTACTAAAACTAAGAAAGCTACTCTGATTTTTCCAGGAATTTAGACCAGACTCCTGCAACTGTGACCCTGCAGTAATTCTGTTTCTTTTTCCCAACTGGAATTGAATTGTTTGTTTCAAAACATTCATTGCTTCACAATAACTGAGTAAAATAACACTTACACTGAGTCTTTGTTTAAGAAAAGCACTACACATCTCAGAATACATTCTTAGGTAACTGGTTGGAACTAAAACCTGGGCAATTTACAGAGGCCCCAGGGTCACATTGTCAAAGAGCCACATACAGTTCTCAAGTGCTGGGCAGTGTGAACTTATGGTTGCGTCTAACAGTGTGACATGGTCTGTGTTTCGCCCTGGTGTGTGCAATAACTTGACAAGATCAGTGCTTGACAAGAAGACTCAACATGGTACCAAGCAGCTTTCTCGTCCAGTTCGTTCAGGGACCTCTTACCTTTTATATATCTTTTCTGTTCAGTATCACTCTTAAATGGGTTCATTTTCAATAACCTCAGTGCATCAGGTATTGATCTGTAAAATCCAGCTTGTTGTTGTGCTTAGGCTTTTGAACCCGTGGTAATGTAAAATGAGCACTGTGTGATTTTGCCATATGTTTTCTACAGCGTCAAGACTGAAAATCTAATTTAATTAAAATCATTTTATCCATTCCAGTTCGTTTATTTACTAAGGAACACTATATTTGTTTGCTTGGACATGTTAACTTACATCAAGCACCGCTGCAATGACAAGTCGCTCAATTAAATGCTGAAAATATTCAAAAATGCTGATAAAAGGCTTGGAAATCACAGCCCTTTCTGCTAATATCACCTATAACCCAGCCATGTTTCTAGAACTCTGCCAGAAGCTTTGACTTACATCGTTTTTCATTCCATAGAATTCCTCTTGAAAGAAAGAGAGATTCTATAGACCTTCTATTAATCTTCTTCCATGGATAAAATAAGTCTGAATTTATCATTGTCACTACCAATTGTGGGTTAAATGCACACGGAGTGACAAAAAACCTGTGGAAGGATATTTCCCTTTTACTAATTGACTAGTTATTTACTTAGTTCAAGCAGGGAGCTGCGTCAGCTTGCAGTAGGCAGCAATGGAACAAGTCAAGGTTTATTCCATGCTGAAAAGAGAAGAAAAGAAACGTAACGTTTCAGCTGTGGAGCCTTCTTCGGGTCCGCCTGAAGGTTCCACAGCTGAAACGTTGTGTTTCTTTTCTTCTGTTTTCAGCTGGAATAAACCTTTACTGGTTCCTTTGTAGTTATTTACTTATTCCTGGACAGACTGATTTCACTGGACCAGTTTAACAGCTCGCAGCTCTTCAGACGTGTCCAGTCTCCAGACCTAGAAAAGGGCTCCAATCCCCACATTCGCCCCCGGAACTTGCATTTTAGATTGATAAGGGAACTTTTTAGCGCACCGTTCTAGTTCCCAGTGTACATAAAATACATAACTCTATATTTTAAAATGTACGCAGTTTTCACTGCTTTATAGTCTGCTTCAATACAGATGATACAGATTTTTGAAGGACAGATAAGCACCACAGCCTGCTCAGAGCCGGTTTAGGTTTCCTCCCACCCTTCCCACCACACAGTAGAAACATGTGCTCCGTGTGCGGCTCGGCCAGCCTGCAGTGCATGTGTAGGGTCTTGACCACAGCATGGGGCTCTGTGTGTTTCTGTCCGCCTCCACGTGCAGGAGTATACACCCATTGGCACAGCTCACAACAGGAGGGCCCAGCCATTTGTCGCTGCCGCCAACGTTGACGAGAGGAGGCAAGTGGTGAGCTCGGCCTACAACTCTCCGATAGGCCTGTACTCTGCTGGCAATATCCAGGATGCCCTGCAGGGGCAGCTGCGCGGCCTTATCCACGACAAGCCTGAGGAGGGGTGAGTCCTGTGTGTTTCCTTCGGTCTGGCTGGCATGCTTCCCATTGAGCCCTGAAGCCCAGCTCTTGAGCCTGTCATCCACTCTACTTCAGGCCTCCTTAACTGTGGAATGCAGGCCGCGACAACTGTGGCCGTTAACCATCCTACTCATCACCCTAATGCTCGACCTCCGCATGTAACACAAACCTCACCTTTTTTATGTCTTGCAGGATCTTGGCTACTTCGAGCACAAGTTTAATGTCAGACCAAAGCCATTCAAACCACCAGGCCAAAGCAGGTTACATGCATTAGACGTCCCCTGCCAGCACGCAGTCTGTATTGTATGGCTGTCAAACGATAGATTGAAGATTGATTGATTGATAAAAATATAGAATGAACAATTCGCTGCTGAGCAGAAATCCAATTTAGGCACTTCTGACAATGAAAAAAAACATGAATTCCCTGGGCCCAGTAAAATCCTGAGGATGGATAACTCCAACCCTCCTCATTTTCATTTAATAAACACCTCTGATGATTACTAGGACTTGAACTATTGATATAGAAAAGAGGACAACGTCTTTCTTTCAGGCTTTAATCAGCTGCTAACTGAAGTACTTGTTACACTTGTAGGATTCTGTAGGACTCTGGGCCTGCAGGGCTGGTTTAGATCAGTGATTCCCAATCCTGGTCCTGGTGACCCACACAAGCCCTGAGTTACACACGCAAACCCTTTATTGACTTAAGAATAATAAAATGAATTTGAAATGCTTGTTCCTAGCTCTTAAATGTGTCAGAGTGTCAGAGTTTAGCCATTGTATTTTGTCAAATTTGTGGCGAGAAACAAAATGCAAATATTCCATTGAAGCAATGTCTTGGATCAATTAACGTTTTAATTATCTAACGAAGGAGGCTGGAATGAAAACCATCAGGTGTGTGGGCCACTAGAACCAGGCTTGGGGATCTCTGGTGTGGACCAAATCGAATCAATCAAGTTCGATAGCTTAATTTGTGAGATTAAGAAAGAAGTGCCCTGTTCTTCATAAATATCCTAAGCTCATGCACTGCCACAGCATGATGGCTAGCTGTAACAAAACACCAGGCTGTAAAGCATTGCTGCGGTCTACAGGCCCCTGAGGTGATTTTCAATTTCTTCTTTTTCATATTCCCTGCTTCTATGATCGATAGTTATGGCCATTTAGCAACAAAGTAAATAGGTCAGCTCTTAGTCTGCAAAGCCTGGGTTCAATCAGAAGAGATATTCCCCTCATTGTTACCGTACAATATATAATAATCAAGAAAGAGCTTGCGGGTCAATTCAAATTGAAATAATGCTGTTATTGTTATGATTATGATGCAATTAGCGAAGCTTGCTCGCAGACTTGTTTTTCATGTGCATGACGCATGCCCGCCTTCACCACAGTGCCCCGAAGGCTCAGAAAATGTTGCCGCATGCTTCATGAAGCTTCTCTGCACAGCTTAAAAGAAAGTATTTTAACTCTTCATCTCTGACCTCTAACTTTCCATTGTTCACGTCGTTTCGCTGTCCCTGGTCCCCGCTCCCGTCTTCTCCTTGGCTGGTGTCGCTGTCGTGTCCTGGTCATTCAATGTCACCTCCCTTCGTGGCCCCACGGCGCCCCTCAGTGGTTTCAGCAAGCCTGTGGCCTTGGCTCAGCGGCCCCCCCTGGTGACTGGTAGCACCTCCTGCAGTGCCTCACAAGCAGCACCCCCTCCTGTGAACTGCAGGGCTGGCCCGACAGGGGCTAGGGTCCTCAGCTCTCAGTATAACTCTCCGCTGCCGCTGTACTCAGATGCCACTATTCTGAGCACGCTGCAGGGAAAGACGGCGACGTTAGGCGAGCAGGCCCATCTCAGGTAATCAGAGCTCTGAGAGTGCCAGGACTGTGGGCCTGCACAGTCAGTGCACGCTTGTGCAGTGTTTTTAGTCCTTTTCTCCTCTGTTGTATCTTCCTCCAAACAAAGAAACGGTTCAATTGGCTCCGGCGTCACTGGCATAAGCCTGTGGTAGTTGGTAAACGCTCTCCAGCGTCGGACGTGGCACCTTTTTGTACGTCAAATTCTCGCTCAGATGAAAACGCAGAAGAAGTGCCAGTCTTGGGGTGGCACCATCCATGGGGAATATACAACACCGGATTTAAAAAAAAACAAGAATACATTTTTATTGAAGATTACCCTTAAGTAGAGACACTACTTAGGCCTCAGCTTCCGTCTGGGGCATCTGTGCCTGACTCCGGGCACCAGCAGAAAATGGGTTCTGGAAAGATGCGCAGCACCGCGGTGGCCTGGCGTCCCGCGCAGGGCGTTGCACCCGGTGCTCACCCGGGATAGCCCCCTGCTCCCCCACGGCCCTGTGTCGGGTAACGCGGTCAGAAATGGGAGACCTGCAGGGGTCGTCTTCCTGGCGGTCGCACGAGTGGCCCGCTCACGCCCGCGCGCTGTCCCCCGCAGCGCGCCTGCCACGTCCTCCATAGAAGACTCCCACGTGTACCGGATGCTCCAGCAGGACCAGGAGGAGCCTCATGAGCCGCGCCAGTCCGGCTCCTTCAGAGCCCTGCAGGACTACGTGCAGGACGGTGAGGACTTTCACGCGCCCGCCAGGGCTGCTTCCGTTTCACGCCGCGGCTTCTGTCCGACCGCGTCCTCCTTTTGCCCGCGCAACGGAAAGCATCCTGGTGCTGTGAAAATACCAGGCGCATACCCGCAGACGGGCAGGCCCCTTTCAGACTGAGCCTGTTCAGGCTGCAGCGCACTGTGTCACCAGAATGACAGCAACACGTTAGATTAAGGGTCCCAGTTTTAATAGATAAATTCCTTATAGATATAGAATTAGAATTAGTATTAATAGAGTGTTAATAACTTAGTAATAAATGGTCCCTAGTTATGGTAAATGGTAATTACGACTATTGTCAGGCGTTTATAAAGGGTTATTTGCAACCCCTAAAGTAAAGTAATGTAGTTTAATCTGTTCCTATTGCTTTTATTGCTGTCATTTTTGGTACATCCCATTTTTTTTCTCCATTTTTTCCATTATTTCCTTTATTTGCCTTGTCCCTAAATGTCGGAACATCCTACACCAGATATGTAGTCATCATCGGCACGAGGAGTAGACCGTTGTTCTGAGCCGTTGTTTGGAAACAGAAACAGGTTTTTTTTCATTTTCTTTCGGCCTTTTGGTGATGTTTCTATTACATCGCTACAGATCCAGAAAGTTGAGAGTGTAGTCACACTCGGTTTGTTCGCAGACATCCTGCTCCTCTTGAGCCCTGACTGAGAACTGCGCAGTGATTTCTGTCTCAAATCAAATCAAATCAAATCAAAGATTATCTATCCAATGCACAACAATGCAGCGTGCAGCAGTAGTTGCTGGAGATGAAATGTCTTTTCTGCAAACTCACCAGAATCACAAAAATCACAAAATTAAGATTACATCATAATGGATGTAATAATGTAATGGAAGAGGTGTTAGTGGGGCCAGCAGGGGGCGCTCACCCTGTGGTCAATGTGGGTCCTAATGTCCAGTATAGTGACAGGGACACTATACTATAAACAGGCGCCGTCCTTCGGATGAGACGTAAAACTGAGGTCCTGACTCTCTGTGGTCATTAAAAATCCCAGGGTGTAACCCCGGCATCCTGGCCAAATTTCCCATTGGCCCTTATCAATCACGGCCACCTAATAACCCCCCTCTCTGAACTGGCTTCATCACTCTGCTCTCCTCCCCACTGAGAGCTGGGGTGTGATGAGAGTACTGGCACATCATCCAGGTGGGGCTGCACACTGGTGGAGGGGATCCCCATTACCTGTAAAGTTATTATTATTATTATTATTATTATTATTATTATTATTATTATTATTATTATTAGAAACGGAACCAAACTCAGTATGAAAAGAGCTGCTGTCTCCCCTGGCAGCGGTGTCCATCCTTTAACAGCCCCGCCTGTTTGTGGACTCCTCCGCCAGGCACGCGGCCCAGCGGGATCCGGAGCGTGAAGGCCCCCGTGACAAAGCCCCCCAGCTCGAGCGGGACCCTCCAGAAGCTGCCCATCTGTGACAAGTGTGGCAACGGCATCGTGTGAGTGGCCACCCTGTCCGCGCACCGCTCGGAGCCCCGCAGAGCCATCCCAGCGCCGGGCAGCGCCGGCCTCGCTTCCTTTCCGGGAAAGAAACCAGAGTAAAAAAAAAAAAAGCAATGCAGCCCCCGAATAACACCTGCTGCTCGCATCAAAAAGTTCCTTTTTTTAAAATAAATATCTCAGATTTGGCATTGGTGGGTTGAAAGGGAGATTTGGGGTTAAATCTTTGGGGGAAACGTCAGGAGAGCAGGTCATAGGCAGTGAAAACGCGGTCTCTTTTGCGTTCGTCTACGAGTTTGTTGGGCTTTTGGCGATGCAGTCTCCCTCCAGGGGGAGATTCCCTCTCAAACTCGTTTTTACTTTCAGAGGAGCGGGCCAGCGGAAGTGGGGAGTTTCTCTTTTTTTCTCCGTCTGGGCCTTGACGCTTACCACGCGTCGTTTATGCTGTCAGCAAAAAAAACTCCAGCGCAATGGACAACGCGAGGCAAATGTTTTGGTTCGTCGGTGCCGTGACAGTAAAGATGTCTGGGGCGTGGCGTTATTTCCTCTGACAGGAACCACTGTCCTTTCCTCCTCACGCAGGGGGACGGTGGTGAAGGCCCGGGACAAGTTCCGCCACCCGGGCTGCTTCGTCTGTTCCGACTGCGACATGAATCTGAAGCAGAAGGGCTACTTCGTCGTGGAAGGTCAGCTGTACTGCGAAAATCACGCCCGGGCCCGGATGAAACCGCCAGAGGGATACGATGCTGTCACTGTTTACCCTACAGCTTAAAACAGACTCCGAACTGCAGACCTCGTCCAGTCTGACTGTTGCAGTATGTCTGTTCAACAGGTCATAATCCGCACACACATAAAAATCGAACTATTGATATAGCTGAGCTGTAAAAATCTCTCTTTTTAAAAATAAGTCCGGCTGCATGGTCGGTAGGTATCATAAGAAGGGATTCAGTCTGATAGGTTTTTAATCCTTTTGAAATGCACGTAGGTTAATATTGAGTCAGGCTGGAAGATCGCAATCTTCATACCTTATTCAGTAGACTGACAAAAGTCGGAGGAAATCCACATTTGTTTCCCTTAAGTGTCAGAACTGAGAATGAATCTTACACGCAGTGGCCAGTCTGTCAGATACTGTATATAAGGTTACATTCAGCTACAACAGGAAAGGCTGTTTTGCAGTAAGCAATTTTATTAGCATATGTATTTGCATGTGCTTAGATTGAGTTATCCAAACCTAGCACTGAAACGCGATTTCTCTTCTCTATCATGAAACACTGCATTTTGTTTTGTTTTTTCCAGTAACTGAAGTAGGTATGATTTGTTTTTCTTTGTTTATCCAGAATACAAATCACTTCTGCAAATGGCTTTAATGAGTAAAAGGTATATACAGTCTTTAGAAATAGTGTAATGCAAGAGTTTTGATGTTGGGAATGGCAGAAGCATGAAAAAACATACAGAATTCAAATGTTTAATGAAACGTGCTGGTTTTCCTTAGCTCTAGGTGCTCTGGATGCTGGGCAGGTACTTCAACACATGTAATTTCAGAGAAATTTAGTTTTGCTTCTTGCCCACATGTGAAAAAAAAATATAGCAAATAGGCAAATAATATGCTGGATTATTATGGCATCTACTTACATATTTTAAAGTTGCATTTTGCACATTTAGTCTCATGGAGAATGTATTTCATTTAAATGAATTTCAGCTGTTGCTTCCCTTCAACAAAGCGATTCAGACTCCATCGGTTTAATCCTTTGTTTTCAGCACAATAGCAATTAAAAAAGCAGTGATGAAAAGGTGATGGCTTGTCTTTCTCTGAAGAGCATTTATATCCAAAACATCTGATATACAAATAGCCGCGCAGACCACAGAGTTGTGCTGTCTGGTCATAAGGCAGGATCTGTGTCACATTAGAGAGTTCCTGTCTTGAAAACAGACGTGATTCTATTATGAGTCACAGCCTCGTGAAGCAGTGTCAGGGCTTAATATTATCATGATTCTGAACATCAGTTTGTGAAAAAGCATCATATATAGTTCTTAGTATACTCCCTGTGTTCTATTTAAGATGCACCCATCCAGGATGTATCCTGCCCAGTGATTTTGTTTGACAGTGAAAATGAATGGATGCTCCCATTTAAGAATGGACACCGAGCTGTCACACCAACACTGAGACAAAATAGGACACAGAGAGATGTAGCAGGAGCACATAAAGAGGTCAACATTAATTCCTGCTTGAAGGGCTGTTTACATGTCGAACTGGGAAAGACTTAAAACCAAATTTTATATATACATATGAATCAAAGCAAACATTTATCATTCGGCTGCAAGACTATTGAAAGTATAAACACTTGAGATTATGGTTTTCCTATAACTTTGTGTACAGTGGGAGTGGGAATGAGCTGAATTCTGCTTTACCTTGATGTTTAGTCCTGTGCTGATGCTGTGAAAGTCTTCCGCAACCAATAAGTTTAAGAACCTGGGAGTCACTGCAAACCAACCAAGTCACACAAATGCTCACACAACCTCAGTGTTTAATAGGCCATATCCTCTGTGTTCATATCAGGTCCATTCACGACCAACATCACAAAAAAGCCTTAAGAGCCATCATATGATATTCAGAGATATTCATATGCTGTTCTTGTAGTGGTCACTCAGAATTAGTGGAAATTTTAAATCCATAATTTGAACGTGTTATTATTATTATTATTATTATTATTATTATTATTATAATTATTATTATTATTAAATGTGCTGGTTCGTGTTCCAGCTGAGCTCTGAGTCACCGGAGTTTATCATGAGGAGGGACAGCAGCCAAGTTCACTTTCACCTCAGCGGCCCTAACTTGTAATCATTCCTGAAGTCGTTTCCCAAATTAAAAAAGGCCTTCAATCCCTTTCGCACCTTGGTATATTAAACGATCCCTGAGCTGACTGGCGTGTTTAGAAAATGGCTGGATGGAAAGATATTCTACAATATCAACGCACTGCCATATTGGAAGGTCATACTGGAACACAGAAGGAATCTGTACGACTTGGTCTCGGGCTCAGATTGGACACCTTCCCAATGAATGTCAATGAATTAAGGGATTACAAAACCGGAAAAACATATGCTTGATGCTGCAAGATGTTTGGCAGTAAATCTTCTTTGAAGGGACTCTTCTCCAATGGGTGTGTGCATGAGTCTCAGAGCTACATGAAGTGCTCCAAGGAGTGTTGCAGTCGTGTGGGGTTTTTCACTGATGGCAGCGCTAGTTTAGAAAAAAAGCTTAACATGGAGAAAGGAAAACACGCACATCCTAAATATCAGATGGGAAACCCAGGAGACAAGCCCTCAATTCTGATTAATACCCTGTGGGCATCCCTTTGGCCTCATAAAGGGTGTAGTGTTACAGTGTCCGTAGGAAAATATTATCCTTAAGCTTCAATCCTTCCTTGTCACCAGTGACCTGGGTCACTCTCATTTTCAACCGCTGCCAGATTTGTTCCTCTATCCGAAAACCATCCCAAAGATCAAGTGTCAAGTGTATTCCATAATTTCACGGTGAATTAACCTCTGGGGCATGTGTAATTCTATTTGGACAAGGTTGCCTTGGTGACATGCAGTGATGACTAAATGCTGGTGTGAAAATTCTCACAAGGATGTATGAGGACATTTCCTGGCCTGCTCATTCTGCACAGCCTGCAATGTGAATGAAGACGTACTGTTTTTTCTCCCATAACCACTGTTAAATCTACTTAAAATTCATAAAACACACTTTATCCTTTTAGCTGTGGCCTAGATGCACAAAAACTATAAGGAAAATTAATGCTACATAATTAATAACACATTATTATTACTTTTTTCCTAAGACTCAGAGTGGATTTCAGGACAGCTACATTGCATAGTAAAAGCTTAAAAATCCCAATTTGTCAAAAAGTTTATTTCTGTACACTATACAAAGAACACACTCTTTCGATTTTTTTACACTACTACTCCAACAGCGAGTGTCATTCAAGATGGGGTCAACACCTGGTCAATACGTCTCTCCGGTCAGTCGGTGTCCAAATCAAGCCAGGCTGCTTCAGTCAGAGCGCAGGAGAAACATTGACAGCTGCTTTGTCACAGCAAACCAAATACAGCAAGTTATTCCGAGGAGCACCAGAAAACACAAATCAGTTGGTAACAAATACTTCATATTTTTATGTTCGTTAAAAGATGAGGCAGAATATAAAGCTTTCTGACAGTCACTCCAACACGAAAAAAATCATGCATATGAAAAATAAAGCTACATATTCCCTTAAAAGCAGATACCATATTAAATGCACTAGGCATGAAAAGGGCCATAGTACATAATCATCCATCGTTAATGAGAAACAATGTCAGTGACTGGAGGCAAAGTGCACAACATTAGAAAGGATACAAACAAGATGAGGCCACGTTTGCACATAGTTAATGGATCTTAGGATCTCAAAGAGCTCTTCCTGTATGAAAGCAAGGTATCATTTTCAGCAACTTGACTGGGTATATTGTACCAGGCTCCCACAACCCTTGGTGTAAAGACGTGCCTCCTCTACCTGTATCCTATGATATGTACTTCACCATTATTCACTGATGCCTGGTTTACAGCCTAATCTGAACAGATGTTTAACGTCTGCACTGGTACATTGCTGGTCCTGTATAGACCTCTACAGACCTTTATAAATTTTTGGGTATAGCTTTCCAATCACAGTCCAAAGCACTTTTGAATTAAGACATGGTCCCAGTCATTCAACTGATGAACAAAAGCCCCAGTTTTTATATTGTCCCACACTGGCCCTGGAAGTGACGCTCTTACAGTATTTAATCACAGTTAAATGACCAATTTCAGTTATATTACACTAGTTTCACTTGATGTTATAATAAAGCGATAGAATACGACTAAAGTAACAGAAATCATGGGCTGTATTTTGGAAAGCTGGAATGTAATCATCTTCGTGCAAGATCTCAATGACTTTGACATTTCAGGCCAGTGGTAAAATGTGATTAGGGATACTATTAATGGGACGGATGTTTTTAAGTTTAAAACTGTTTTTTCCCTCTTTCAAATCCTGCTCCACAAAGGAAGTTTCACATGCTCCCAATTTAGTAACATCTTGTATTTCTGACCCCGAGGACAAATACTCGAAGACAGCCTGCCAGAAAAGGATGGCTGTAGCCTTTATAAATAGCTTATGGTAGCTGACCATGAGTACTTGTAATAAATAAAGCGCTGGCATCAAACTAGAAATGCGCTCTCGGATCTCCTATTCGTGTCATTCCTCTTTGGTCACATAAGGATAAAAAAGACTCAGAAAAAAATATTCCTCGGAGGGCACTTTATTTCTGCGGAAGACCCGGCAACAAATTATTTATGGAAGCCTCTTTGGGAAAATTCTGAATTGTGAAGCATATATTCATTGAAATGGAGATTTTATTTTTGCACATCTTCCGCAAGTACCTTTGAAATGTAACTTGGTATCCGTTTAGCTGGGGGTCACTGTGCTGGCAGGCGGTTGTGTCCACATACTTTTGGGAGAGTGGTAATGGCCTAATTAAAAGACTTTAACACTTCACAAGGCAAGAAGTATGAGGGGAAGCCAGTGACAGTCTGTATACATTGTTCCAGCGACTACTAGTGTACATCAGTTGTCATCACACCATTTAGGTGCTTTTGAACTTCATTTTCAAGGAGGAAAGACAGCAATTATTCTTTCTCGTATTCTTATTATTATTAGGAGGGCAGCTCAGTGGAGTCCTCAGTTCCATTCTGGACCTAGGGTGCTGTCTGCATGGAGTTTGTATGTTCTCCAGGTGCTCCAGCTTCCTCTCACAGTATGTCGCAAAGACACACTGGAAAGTTAAGTGGCTTCTGGGAAAACCAGCCCCGGGTGAGTGTGATGCGATGGACTGGCGTCCTGGTTTGCCCCGCTATGTGCCCCTTGCTTGCTGGGATAAACTCCAGCCCCCCTGCAGCCCTGAACTGGATGAAGAGGTTGGAAAATGAAGGGATGGACATAAGAGGCACTCTTATCCAGGTCTTTTAACATACAAGAATTACACTTCCTTAAAAAAAAAACACAATATTATTGTTGTTATCCAGTTTTGCACGTTATAAAGTGTACTTCACAACCCTGAAGTCAGCAGAATCACAGGAGGGTTATATTGTACCTACATGCTGTAAATTTAAAGGTACCGTAACCTTATTGCCTGTGTTATTGTTGTTTTATTCAGTTACTCAGTTTAAAATATGTTGAGTTATATAGAATTCTCTATTTCAGTTGGTAGTTAGATTTATGTTAATATACTTTTGTTTTGTTTGTATTCTTACAAGTTTCGGGATAATGTAACTAGAAAAAGGGCGAGATCGGGTAGAGAGAGAGTTTTGAATTATCCAAAGAATATTCTTCCCATCCTCACTGGCAGATTGTTTCACCACCATCGGCACGAACCCTTCATTATTCGGCCTCCATCGGCGACACTTGGCGGCGCAGCCGGCGGGCTTCACCCGCGAAGAGCTGCGCTGCCACAGCCGGGCGCCGCGCTCTCCCGGCCGGCGCGGCTCCACCGCAGCCCCGCGGACGCAGAGGCCGAGGCCGCGGCCGGGCAGTGTTTGCGTCACCATGGCAACACCCCCGGGGGAATCCACCAGGACAGGAGCTGTCAGTTGCGGGGCCGGTGAGCAACTTGAGGGCGCTTGAACGGCGAGGATTTATTTTGCAACTTAAAACTGTAGAAAAGGAGTAAAAGCGACAGTCACATGGCATTGAGAAACTAAGGGCACTTGGCTGTGTTTTTTTTTTGGAAACGGTAAAACACTTTGCGATTTTTTTTAAAAAACATCCCAACTGATATTTGTCCAGGGTGTTTAGGGTGAAGATAAGCAATTGTAATGAGTTTAATTTAACTTCAAGACGCCCCGTTTATTATTTATTCTGAATATTAGTTTTTTTTTGGTAAATAAGTGCCTGGTGCTTGGCAAAAGTTTATTCCTGTGCGTGTTTTTAACCGCAATAAAAAAAGCGAAATAACCTACTGTATAGTTTTGCTGACTTTTGCTGTGTTTATAATTGCACTCGATTGGTTTGCGCTGTGAAAGCCAGGTGCCTCTTCAGCAGGATAATTTGTTCGTTTTGCATGTGTTGAAAATGAAGGCTGCGGTCTTCCCTGGACTGAGATGGAGAACCAGGACGACTCGGCCTTGAAGGTATGCAACAATTGGATCGATACTTCTTATTTCAATCGGAGTGCCTGAGAAACGACCCGGAGATATTGAAACAATGTTTAATCCTCACATGCTAAATACGTGGTCTATGATAATATACCTATTTGTGTTGCTATTGTTGCGTGTTGACATTAAAAATGAGGAAATCTACATAGTGTCTTTAAGCAAGTTGAAATGACGCTAGGAATACTGTATCTATTACTGAAGTCGAGATGTATTTGAAGATGTCTTTGCTACTTTATGCACGTCATTCGTAAATCCCAATCTGATTTTCCGAGGGGGTCGTTCTTCCTTCACGTCCTGCTCATGTCTCTTGTTAACGCAGGTACTGCGACAACAGCTGGAAACGTTTGAAGCGCTGCGTCTGCAGACCTTGAAGACCGTCTCTTCAGTGAGTAAAACCCCACCCCGGGATGATCCGTTCTTGCATGGACCCAGAGCTCCGTTACAGGTCCAAACTGTGACCGCCGGCGGCTGCCTGTGTGTTTCAGAACTACAAAAGCAGTTCCCAGTCAGGCAGGCTGTGCCCTGAGTACAACAGGGGGGCTGGTGTCAGTACTGCGCAAGAACAGAGAGAGGTCAAAAACCAGAAGAGGCCATTCAGGCCAGATAACGCGTTTGGCAGGTAGCGATAGGTTGCACGGTGGCTGGGGTCCTGGGTTCAGTTCTGGGAGTTTGCATGTTCTCCCCGTGTTCGCGTGGGTTTCCTCCAGGTGCTCCGGTATCCTCCCACCGTCTAAAGTTTTCAACGAACAGTAACCGCGCCTTGGCTTAACCTCAGAGGCTAGGACACTGCCACTGTGCAAAGACGTGCACAGGCTAAAGAGGTGCTGGACGGTTAACTGACTTCTGGGAAAACTGGCCCTGGTGTTTAGTGTTTAATGTTTCTTTATTAGCCCTATACAATTTCTATACAATTTCTTGCATTAGGAATTCGTCTTTTCGCATACCCCAGCTTTTCTCCATGGAGACACAGACACAGACAGGGAGAGAAGCTTGGGGTCAGAGCGCAGGGTCAGCCATTGTACAGCGCCCCTGGAGCAGTTAGAGTTAAGGGCCTTGCTCAGGGGCCCAACGGAGTAGGATTCCTCTGCGAGCCGCGGGATTTGAACCATCAACCTTCCAGTCACAGGCGCAGATCCTGAGCCACAGAGCCACCACTCTGGTGTGAGGGAGTCTGTGTCTTTGTGCACCCTGTGATGGCCAGATGCTTGCTGGGATACTGGGAGAGGCTCCAGCTCCCTTGCAACCCTGAACTGGATAAAGTAAAGTGGTGCGGATTGGATGGATGTTTTTCATTTTGTGAAGTATCAGGTCTCCTCTTAATCTTCTCTGGTCGAGACTAAAATGGTTCAGTTCTTGTTTCCTGTGAGTGTAGGACATTGCTTTAAGCCCTGTATGGTATCTTTTCTGGACTGATTCCGAAGCAGCAATATTTTTTTTTGGTGATGATTAAAATTGTGCGTAATATTCTAAATGTGATCTTACTAATGCATTATCCTTTAAATATGATATATCAAACATGAATCTTTAACCTGATTTTTTTCTAGGTCCAGTCAGAAATTAATGAAATATTGAGCAGTTCTGAGCCTGAGTGCAGAAGTGATCGTGCTAGCCCTTCAAATCCCTCAGGTTCAACTTCTCCAAGGAGGGAATTGCAGGTACAGTATTCTTTTTCATCTAGCTGTAATTGTAATTTTTAATAAGCAGATTGAAACTTACAGTATTTTCAAATGTTTTAAAATGTGAGAAATGCTTTATTTTCAGGGCGTGCAAAATCCACTTTTTATATCTGCATTACAAATTCAGTTAGTGTGTTAAGTATTCATTAATACCGATTTAATAAATTACATATATCAATTATTATTAAATTCATAACCATTTGATGAGTTATTACTGACCTCTTATACTGAAGGCTAGCAAAATATTTGATCAGCTTTATGTTTTTAATTGAATGTAAAAAGGAAAGAAATAGGTTCTAACGTGTTTGATGTTATTTTTCCAAACTGCTTCTAAAGACTGGAAGAAATGTGCCAGATTCACCACAAGGGGGCGCCGTGGGACCTCTGCAGACTGATGTTGGGAGCAATATAACGCCCGTTCCGTCTTTAAAGAACAGCCTCAGCCATGCGGTGACCTCATCTCCAAGGGAGTCTTTCGTCAGCACTTTGTCTTTTAAAATGGGAGGACAGGAAATTAAGCGCGCCTCTAACGAAAACAAATCACACAGACAAGAACCCTTACACTGCCTTGCTGATGCTGGTATGTATCTGGAGAATGGTGGAGGTCCCCAAAACCGACATTCACCAGCTGCATCCTCCACAGTGGGCAGATATCCCTTGTCCCAGGCTTCTCCAGACCGTAACCAGGACCTCTGGAGCACCCTGGAGAAAGTCAGCATCGCCAGCGAGCTGATGAAAGAGGAGATGGAAAGGTCCCAGAGGCGGGAATTAGCTTTGGCGCTTGAACTCGAGTACCTCAAACAATCAATGAGGCCTTCCTCCAAAGGACTGAGTGATGATGAGATGAATCACAGTCCAAGGGGAGCTTTTCATCACGAAGGAGACCTGCCAAATGCGTCAGGTCTTCCATTAAACACGGATGGTAAATGCGAAAGGATTGCGAAGTTAGAAAAAATGGTAGAGAGACTACAGAATGCCCAGGTTTCCCTGGAAGAAAATAACCTGAATCTCAGGAGGCCGATCAGAGGAGGCAGTGAACACCAGATACCTGCAGATTCCAATTGCACTCACCCGCACGCTACCCAGGACACAACACATACAGGACAAGGAATGGCTGATAATAGAAACCTCATTCCCAAGGCCAGCCAGATGCAAACAGCACAGTTCTGTGTTTCTGAAAATGGTTTGGAAACACAAAGAGAGGGCCCAGGCAGTGAGGCCAAAGGTGATCGGAAGGAGACCAAAGTCCTTGTAAGGGAAAGTGAAATGCCTGTGATGATGAACTCCTTGCAAAGTGATAAATCAGAAAAAGAGGCTGAAGACATGTCGGTGCTGAAGGGCCTTGAAATTGTAAGGCCTCGTGAGCCCTCCGAAGAGCAGAATCTGGCAGATGCGGACCAAGTCACTCGTCTCGAGAAGGAAAAGCAGGAGATTGAAAAAAAGTTCAAGACGATGGAGGAATATAGTAAACAATGTGTTAAGGAACTGAAGAAACTCTTGCGAAAATATGAAGACCTGAAAACCCGTAACAGAGCTCTTGATGGCCAGAACAAGCAGCTCTTGTCAGAAAAACAGATGTTAATTAGCTTCCTTGACGCAGTGAAAGAGGAGAAACAGAGAGCTCACGACAACACGCTCAGCATTTTGAAGGAGAACGACAATATCAAAGACTTGCTGGACAAGGCGAATCAAAGCTTTGCTCAGCTGAGAGGCGAGAAACAGCAGCTGCAAGGCAAGGTGGCTCTTTTGGCGAGTGAAGTGAGTCACCTGACAGAAGCGCTTGGAACCAGTAAACTGGAAATCCAGAGACTTGAAGGGAAGGGCACTCTGCTTCAGCTGATACAGGAGGTCCACGAGGAGAGGCCCAGTGCTGATCTGGCTCTCCAGGATCCTGACAATGTGAGAAGGATCCTGCAGAAGGAGGTGGGGCAGCTGGTTTCCCAAAAACAAGCAACCGAGAAAAAGCTCCAAGATGATATCCAGACAGTCCAGGCAGAAAGAGTCCTGAGCAGTGTGAGCAAAGAGTGCGAGGTGCTATCTGTTGTGGTGGCCCAGCTGAGGGAGGACAATCACGTCCTGAAGCAGGAGCTCGAGCAGAGCGCTCACCAGAGCCTGCTCCTCGAGGGCACCGTCAAGGGACTGAAGGAAGAGCGAACGCTGTTGGAGAACTGTCTCTTCACCGTGCAAAGCGAGAAGGAAATCCTGCAGCTGGAAGTTCGAAAGCTCCATCGGGATTACCTTGATCTCAGCAGCACCGTCGCCGTTCAGCTGGGGAACAGAAGCCTGGATGTGTCCAGCAGTTCTCTGGGCTTAAAAGATTTATCTGATGCTAAAGATGGTGACTCCATACATGATGGCCCAAGAGGTAAGGTTCATGTTGTTTACTCTTACATAGAAATACTATTTCATCACGACTAATAGTAAATTATTATATCATCACATATGGAACTGAAATATTTATATTTTATATATGTACATAATAAGCGCTGTTTATTGCATAAGAAATTTAAACTCTGTCCTTGATCAATTCTCATATTTTGATTAAAACAAAATCAGCATAACTGTTGTACATTCTCTACCTTATCAACCCCTAAGAAGATGAAAACATTTATTCCAAAGATTCTACCATTAGTGTGTTTTCAAACACACATTTTTATTTTTTAAGGAATTTAACAAAAGCTTTTGCTTCACACAAATAAATAGGACTTGGTTGTTTTTCTCTGTTTCAGAATTATGCAAAGGTCTCTACAATATGAATGTTTTTTTTACAGTGTATATATTTTGCAGGCAATAAACTATTTAAATTCTTTGTGCTATCAGTTCAAACACAATCTGTCTGTCTTCATGGCCAACTTCTTTAACATTGAAAAAAAACAGTCTTCCACACTGAGAAGAAAAGGGAAACACGAAGCTGCTGAGCATTTAAAATAAACATTCTTCACACACAAAATAGGACTGGTCTCAATTCAAAAGCTTCTTCTGAAAGGTCTGATGTGGTTGTGATCCCACAGAGAAACTGCAAATCGATCTGATAAGGAAGCGGTTTGAGGAAGGAGAGCTGAGAAGAGAACAGAGATCTAAAAGTACTGGGGGTCGGTGTGACCTGAGGCTGGAGAGAGGCCAGGCAGACAAGGATCCGAGCATCACGTAGCCCCTTGTCAAATCGCCACCAGCAGGAATGAAGAAACTCGACCAAACAGGCTCTTTTCAAGATGTCAGATGAGCTAAATGAAGCGGCGTGCTCTTAAGGCACCAAACATTATTTTATTTTCCAGCAGCAAACTACAGAAATAAAAATATGTGCTTTTTTTAGTGACTTTTCTTTGTTTATCCTTTGCGCAAAATTCCGTGAATCAGGGTGATGCTTTCAGTTCTTCTGTATATGGAGCAACGTCAATCCCACTCTGTGCCACAGTGGCTCACTGGGTCAGAGCCTATCCCGGCTTCCTTATGCTCCCAAGGAAACAAGCATGTTTTTGCATTCACAAGTCACTCAAAATGCGCTTCATTCAAGTTGCAGAATATGAAAACAAGATAAGTGATGTTTCAGGTCTCCAAGAAGACTTCTGAAATATTGCCTTGTTCAAGCTTCCTATGGCACCTTTACATTCCATAACAATCTTCCTGTTTCCTCCCTCCATCATTCCTGTCTGACAGAATCAGACTAATTTATCAGTTATGTTGAATAACATGTTCTCAGTAAATAGATCTACTCTTTAAAACATAACTTTATTTGAATAAATAAAGTGAAACAGTCTCCCACTGACTGAAGTGGTTTAACTGACACTCTTTCACTGTGGGGAGTGGAGGAGAAAGGTCCACGTGAGCAAGAGGAAGAGGTGATTGCTGTGGCCACGTCTTCTTCAGAACAATCCCAGGAGTCTGGGGATCAGTATGCCATGACAGCAGGTATGCTCATGTAGTTCCCAGCATGCACTGATCTAAAACAAAATGAAAAAGCCCATCACATCAGTGTCGGTGAACAAAACAGTGCTTTACTTCACTGCCTACCTGCAAACCTGCTAATAAGACATTATTGTCAAAAAGGACATAAAACTTTTCATTTCAAAGGACTCCCAAAGTAATTCATATGTACAGTAGGAAGGGACACAACCTCTCATGGTCTCCACCAATCCATAGCAGCAGCACAGCAGATCAAGTCTTGCCATTTGAATTAAGGGGGAAAATGAGGAAGACCAGATTGCACAAGCCCAGAGTGGAATTAAACCATGACACCAGAATCAACACCCCTCCTCTTCCGAACATTAGCTTAGTTTCTTTAATGACATTGATGTGATGAGTCAGCTCATCACCAGAGCAGCACTTCCTACAAAGTTGTCTCGCTGGTCACCAATTCAGCTTGAACCTGATACATTCCAATACTTTTTGAAGTCACAAAATACCCATGTTTTATTTAGGAACAGATTTAAGTTGTTTTGAGGTCGCCCTGACTGAAATAATTGAAATAATTAAATTAAACACCGGCATCCTCCAATTGGTTGTTTTGAGTTTACCCTGGTTGACTACTGAAATAATAAAATAAAAACTGGAATCCTTCAATTGTTTGTGTCCCATACTCTCAGTCTTAGTCTGACCTATGTCAAGAGCCAGCTGTGATCAAGATTCCCCAAGCAGCAGTATATTACAGGACTGGGCAGCCTTGTCTTGGTGAGAGTGTGGGACTTGAGAATCTTGCCCTTAACTACTCCTGATAACACTTATGCTCAAGTAGCCCAGCAGCCCTAGTGCTAGTGCTGGCCGAAACTGTACAGTCTGTTCCTGTCCTGGCGGGAGGTTTGCAGCCATAAAAGCTGTGCCGATTAAGAGATGGCAATTCAAAGGTGGCGAGGACAACAAAAAAAAACAACAGGGGCTGGTGATTCTGTTATTTTAAAGACAGGTTTCAATTCAGTGTAACATACTTCATGAAAAACAATTTCCTCCAATACTCACAGTTACTCACAGGGAAGCTATAGCATTTGGGGTCAGTATCTCTCTTCCACTTGTACAGATATGATATTACCTCCTTGTTGATTTGTACCATTATTCCAGAATGTCCAGTATACTGCTGGTTAAACTTCTGACTAGGAATCTTACTTGTTGACGTTAGCTGTGATGATGCTTTTCACAGGCATGCTCTTAGGTCCAGGCGATGGGTGGAATATCTTCCCCTCCTTGTTGGTTGTGGCAAATTTGGGCTTCTTCACGATGTAGAGGTCTGCAGAGTGGGAGGGATAAGGATCGAATGTCCCTGATTTCATACCACCAATCTGGAACAAGAACAAAATGAAAAAAGGCTAATTTTCATTTAGTTATATACTGTATTTGTGGGGAGTAATCTACCAATTGCTTTTATAAAAACTCAACCAACTTGTAAATTGCTCTTAAACCAAGTTTAACAATGCCCATGGCAAGGAAGCGTGACCTGAGCGCTCCTGCAGCAGGCTTACCTGGTGTGCCTCCTGAGAGCATCTTGACCTGGTTTGCCTCCTGACAGTATGGTCACCTGGTGTGCCTCCTGACAGCATGCTCACCTGGTGTGCCTCCTGACAGTATGGTCACCTGGTGTGCCTCCTGAC